ACTCTGCCCATTGTTTCTCGCCGGCACCCGGGATCGAACCCAGGACCACAAGTCCAATGTGCTGTCCGCTCGGCCGACCGGCTCCCTCCCTTATAATGCTGCTGGATGCACTGAAAATTCTTCCCGTCGGGTTGTTTACCTGTGGTTCACCTGTTGTATATTGCGAGATTATGCCTGGAACCGGATTTTCCTGGTGATTGCATGATCAGTGTGGCTTTTTGTGTTGGCATCCCGCATGCTCGCCAATCAGAGGCAGGTTGATCCAGTACCTTTAGCAGAAATAAATGTGCCTCGGGAGCATCGATCAGGCAACCAGCGGATCTCTGTCTGTAGGATCCAGTCGTTAGCTCTTGGACCCCGCCTTTCTGACCGTCGGTTTTGTATAGTGTTTTGACTCCCGACCTATCTCATATATAGCGCACTTCTCCAGAAGGCAGCCCAAAACAGCTAGCTACTAGGTGGACAGAGGCATCGGGTGAAAGAAACCTCCCATTTATTTTTGTTTCGGCCGGAAATCGAGCCCTGGTCCGAAGACTGACTCCCGAACGCTGTCCACTCAACAGCGAGGACCCTTAAAAGTGGCTCGATCGCTATGAAGGCAGTTAACCCTTACTCGGCTCCAATCACCATCCGCGATTTCCTCCAGTGATCCAATCACTATCTGCGATTTCCTTCAGTGTTCCAATCACAATCCGCGATTTCCTTCAGTGTTCCAATCACTATCCGCTATTTCCCCCAGTGTTCCAATCACTCCGCGATTTTTTTCCCAATTGAGTTAAATAATTACTTTTAGTGATGAGCTCCACGAAGCTGCTCTGCTAAACAGGGGTGCACTGTACAAGGGTTAAGGATCCCTGTACAGTGTCTGCCTCGCGCATCTAACGCAGACAGACCCGGGGCCAGATTCACGAAGCAGTTACGCAAGCACTTACGAACCCGTGCTTCTTTTCTCAATCTTTGGCGATTTTGTTTTAAAAATTTAAACAGTTAATGAGCTCTGAAGCACCAGGAGGCTGTTTATAACAATAACAACAGTTGATTGGCAAGTTTTCATGCTTGTAAACTGTTTAATAATGTAACCAAAGCCGTCAAAGATTAAGGAGAGATGTACACGTTCGTAAGTGCTTGCGTAACGGCTTCGTGAATCTGGCCCCAGGTAGCCAGGCTTTAAACTGCACCAGTTCGTCGCATTTTTAACGGATTGGTTGACTCCGTAACAAATGAGACGTACGAGACGAGAAGTGGTATAACCAGGGGCCCACAGTGGGCCAGGCCACGTCAGCTGGTAAGCCACGGGGACCTGCAGACAATCCGTGGATCAAATCCTCTTCCGGAGCGCTCAAGAGAGGATCAGGAACCTAACCTGGCCGGGATCATAGAGGATCTGACTAATTGTAAGCGATTGGTGGGGTAGGAGGGGGTGGGTGTTTACCTAACAGTGACTACGGGGTAGTGAGCTCTAGCTCTTGATACCCCGCCTATTAGGCTTGCTCTCCACATCGCGTTATAACTTAACTATTCTGACCAACAAATTGGCAAGGGTCTTTATGAAGGTTCGAACCCACGCACGGGACCTTCCCAGATGCATCTTATATAGTGATATATCATGTTATATGTCGTGATATATCAGGTTATTGTGATTTCTGTGTATTAACTATTATTACGTTGAAATTCTTGGTCGAATCTGGCTTTAGGTTATGGATGAGGTGGATGGAGTTCCGTTGATAATCCACAAGGGCCAGGAGCTCCTGGCCCTTGTGGATTTGTTTCATGGATTGGGGTTGCTTCCACAACTACTACTTTCAGTGCAGTCCACTCGACGCCCCGTACAGCAACCCGTCCTCGACTCAAGTCCATTACATCCAGCGGTCGACCCCACAGACGCATTCATAAATTTTAACATGCTGTTCATTCAAAACGGGAATTTTCTCAAGTATAAATTAATATTATAATATATTAGCATATTGTGCATGCATAGGTTAGGTTAGGTGTTTAGGTTCTGTTGGCGATTATTTGTATTTGAAGTACGTGGGTGAAGCATTTATAGCGATGTGATTCGAACAAAATTCGTCAGTGAAGCACTTGTTCCGGATATGTTCGAACGTGGTAGGGGGGGGGGGGAGGTGACGGCCGGTGTTCACAATCCACCCCCCTCCCCACCCCACCCTTGGAAGAGGTTGGTTTCCAGGCAGTGAATGAAGAGGAAGGAGTAGAGAAGAGGGAGAAATGCGCAGAGAAAGTCGAGAAAACTATAAGAAGAGAATGAGCAGAGCAGCAAGAGAGGGCGGAGGGAAGGAGTAAGGGAGAGAAAGGGGAGTGGAGGAAGGAGGGGGAAGGGAGGGAAGGAGAGGAAATGGGAGGAAGGGGAACAAACAACAAAGCAACAACCGTAACAAAGGTGTATCAAGCCTACAGCTTGTATATTAGTAAGTTAGTTTTAACTTATAAGTCAATGCTGACTTTCAGTTTGAGGTCAATTATGATACTCGTGGCAACTCACTTACGGGTGCACGAAATACGCATTAACATTAACATAATTAAACAACATATAAGCTAAAAATTCGAGTAGTGTGACATCAAAATATTGCATACAATTTTCATGCCGAAACTTGCCCAAACAAAACATGAATTTATATCAATTTACATGTCCTATGCGTTACCAGCAACGAACAAATTAAAAATACACTTGAAACATATAATAACGAGTTCTACACAATGGGCAAAATGTCCTAGCCACCCCCTAAGGCACTACGGGCTTACCATAGCCCGCGCTACTTGGAACTTTGTTCCAGGTAGCAAATATTTAACAACAACAGCCACCCTAGATCACACTTCAATGGGATTTAATGGTTTTCAAGCCACCTCTTAGTGACAAGCTCCTTAATAATATCAAATATCCCACCAGGGGATGGGACGGGGGAAGGAATGGTCCCCAACTACTTGGACAGTCGGGGATTGAACGCCGACCTGCATGAATCCTTATCCTGACCCCTTCCAAGTGCTAGAGAGCCGTAATGGCTTGGCGCTTTCCCCCTGATAATTCCGTCCACCAGGGAATGTCCCCTTCTGTCCCTAGTTGTCATGACCTCAACACCTCACAAACACTCATTCTCAAGTTAGATTTTCTTACAATTATGTTAATTCTAGGAAAATCTGAGTAACGGGTGGAAGGTGAAGTGAGAAATATTAAGAGTAAAACACGCCTGAGGAACCTTGTAAGAGTTTAACGAAAATATAACAGAGGAGACATTGGGTAAATGATATCTTGCTAGATTACTAAAAAAGCTTTAGACATTCCCCTACAAAAAATTGAATCTTTATACATCACTTGAATGGTCGATTCCCAACAGACTAAATAATATCATTCGTTTGAGACATATTTAACAGGTTTAGTGGCCAACTCGTTGCCTCACGTAATAAGTAGCATTTGTAACGAACTCTATCATTTTTGGATGACATTGGATATAACTTAACACACGAGCCTGTCCTCCTAAGCTTTGCCAACGTCTAGAAACTGAGGTACTAAAGTGCCCTTATTTTATGCCCTAACCTACCAGAGGACCCAAAACAGAAAACGGGACAGTATGTCAATTTCGCGAGCCGCTGCCATTTTCTAATACGACGATTTTTGAACTTGCGAAGAGTATACGTCAAAATGCGACGTGCTATTGGGAGGACGGGGTGAACCCAGAAGCCTTAGGGAAAATTTGACTGGAATAGCTCTGCTCGGAAGTTTTGGGTCAAAATCTGGATAAAACGACTATAGTGAGTTAAAAACAATTATGGTATGTTTCTTAGAATTTAATGCGAGGCCGTATATCAAAGTCAAAGATGCTGTGTTTACTATATTTAACCTGCAATGTGAAAGGTGATTCTTGTACTGTGTTTTGTGGACTTGTACAGAGTGGATTTGTGCGCCCCCTTGAAGGACTTGAACGTGGAGGAGGGTCGAAATATCCTAAGCTACTCTATCCAGTGCAATTTATATAAACAATAATTCGTATCAGCTTTGACAGGTATTAATATTACTACATTATCAACATATCCTAACACTTGGCCTTAGTACTGCCCATAAGACAACCAGCTCTACTGGCTCCAAGTCTTTCAATACAGCTGACCAGTTGAAAACTAGCAACGATGCTATCAACATTAAGGGTCCAAGACTTCAACACTCTCCCCTGGGGGAGGGGCTCTTTCTCCCCCTGGGGGAGGGGCTCTTTCTCCCCCCTGGGGGAGGGGCTCTTTCTCCCCCCTGGGGGAGGGGCTCTTTCTCCCCCCTGGGGGAGGGGCTGTTTCTCCCCCCTGGGGGAGGGGCTCTTTCTCCCCCTGGGGGAGGGGCTCTTTCTCCCCCCTGGGGGAGGGGCTCTTTCTCCCCGGGGAGGGCTCTCCCCCTAGGGGGGGGGCTCTCCCCCCGGGGGGGAGGGGGCTCTCCCACGGTGTTCCGGAGAGAACTTGACAAGCACCTTTAAAAGTTACCTGATCAACCGAGCTGTGCCTAAGTCGAGACTGCGAGCGGAGGCGACGAACAGTCTGGTTGACAAGACCACCAACTAGGGACATTGATCCCCAGAACCACCTGCAAGTAACCTTGAAGGTCATAGTGTATAAAGACAGCAAAGACACACGGCACGTTAAGGGCTCCGTTTACCTGGGCTCTAGGAGGCTCGAACCCTGAACCCGAAGCGTGTGGGGGGCTCAAGCTCTATAGACCGAGCTATGAGAAGTCTTAATAAGGAAAGTTTATAAGGAATGAACATGACCTTAAGTGACTTCTTAGTGAAATTTTTTTAAGAACATTACTACGTTTCTCGGCTTCTATGCGTCCTCGTAAACAATATATAGGTATTTAATAATTATAAATTATAGATAATGAGAGTAAAATGATTAACGACCCAAGAAAGGAGGATAAGGAAGATAAGAATGTATAAAGATGAGAAGACAGAGACGACCACCAGGATGAACACGACCCGTCACGACGAGAGCAAGGCATGGTTACTTACCCAACGACCTCGTTCGGCCTTCATGGAGCCGAAGAGATTCTTGAGTTCCTTGACGGTGATGGAGTAGCTGGTGAGGACCCCCAGCACCTCGATCAGCAGGTCTGAAACACACACAAAACACAACACTGTAACTCGCTATCAACCGCCTTCAGCATATATAAATATTTTATAGAATAATATATGGTATAACTTGGCTCACATACAATGTGATGAAAAGCGTATATATTTAACTCGTTATTTCAAGCCTTGAGTATAGTCACTATATTTGTGACTACAGGATCAGGATTGTGTGTACTCACCTAGTTGAGTACACATACAATCTTGATACTGTGCTAACAAATAGTTCCAAACACAAATGTGTGTGTGTGTGTGTGTGTGTGTGTGTTTCTTTTACTGGATGTGCCTGCAGGAATGAGCCGTTAGCTCCTGGACCCCGCCTTTCTAACCGTCAGTTGTTTAATGTTGTGGCTCCAGGACTGTAGCAGCTGTAACTACCAGGTACCTATGCACTGCTAGGTGAACAGAGCCATCAGGTGAGAAGGTCAGTAAGTTTGCAACGCGACTCGTCCCAGAATTGCGAAAGACGGGATATTGCGATAGACAAAGAACTAGACATAACGAGGCTAGAACAGGAGGGAAGGACGAGTCATGGTAAAGACATACAAAATATCTAGAAGGATTGACAGAGTGAAAGAGAGGAAATGTTCGCAATGAATACCAATGGAACAAGAGAGCATCTATCTCTTGAGGTTATCTTGAGATGATTTCGGGGCTTAGCGTCCCCGCGGCCCGGTCCTCGACAAGGCCTCCTTTTTGTTACACACCCCCAGGAAGTAGCCCGTAGCAGCTGTCTAACTCCCAGGTACCTATTTACTGCTAGGTAACAGGGGCATCAGGGTGAAGGAAACATTTTGCTCATTTGTTTCCGCCTCCACCAGGGATCGAACCCGGAACCTCAGGACTACAAATCCGAAGCACTGTCTACCCAGCTGTTAGGAGCATGGGTACAAGCTTGAGAAATACACCAGCCATAGAGATGGTAGAAAGTTTTATTTTAACTTAACAGGGGGCAAATGTAAAGCACTACAGGAGCAGGTTGTAGACGCTAAGTTCTTACATTAATGTTTAAATTAGATATGGTAAGAGAAAAAGGCCAGGAGCTGTTACATTAAACAACCAGCGGGTAGAAAGGCGGGATCCCAAGAGTTAAAGGCCGATCCAGCGTGCACATATAGGTGTGTGTGTACACACACACACACACACACACACACACACACACACACACACACACACACACACACACACACACACACACACACCCTTCAATAACAACCCAACTAATAATCAAGTCATCAACGTCCCTTGTACCAGAGGCAAGAGACTAATCCTATCAATTGCCTCTTCCTCACAAACTACAGGCACAGCTGGGGAAGGGGAGAAGGAATGAGGGGATGGAAGGGGAGGCAAGGAAAAGGAATTGAGATGGAAGAGGGAAGGAGAGAGGGGGGGCGTGGCCAGCAGTGCTCCGCCCCCTTCCTGGATGAATGGAGTCTGATTGGCCAAGAGAATTTTCATCCCAGAGTGGAATAAATTACAGCCAGTGGGGGAGGGGGAGTAGGGGGGGTGATGGAGAGATGAGGGGTCAAGGTGAGGGATCTGAACGCCAGGGGAGAGATGAGAGGGTCGAGGCGTGATTGGTCGAAGTGAGGGGGGGGGGGGGTTGAAGTTCCCTACCGAAGTACCAAGTAACAAATGCCCATTTGAGTTACGGTGACCCAACATGTGAGGTAATTCCATGAAATAACTATACCCAACATTGATCACCGAGTGCTGTCGGGGATTGGGTTAATTGTATGACGATTTCCACTCCTTTTGTACAGTCAGTGTGGTCTAGTGGTTAAAGTACTGGATACGCGAAAGTGCATGAAGCCCTCGATGTCCGAGTTCGAATCCTTCAGGGGTGAGGAATGATATATATATATATATATATATATATATATATATATATATATATATATATATATATATATATATATATAATATAGGGGGGTACCACCACTGGTGCAATTATAGGGACCCACAGCCTCAGAGAAGGGAACACAGAGCATTCAGGGAAAAACTATATATATATAGTTTTATATATATATATATATATATATATAGTAAAAACTATATATATATATATATATATATATATATATATATATATATATATATATATATATATATATATATATGTATTGTGACGATAATCTCTTTCAAGAGAGATTGAGCCTGCTCTTTTGTAACAACAAAAGATAATATAGAAGATACGTCCAGCAAGTATCTCCAAAACGTTTTGCCCAGAGAGCAAAACGTATCCGGCACACCTGCTACCCACCGCCACCGTAAACCGGCAAACTGCTTGTCCATTGCCTGCCTGTCGCTGATTGGCTGGTGTCCCGTCGCACCTGCCCTCCGCCACAAGTTGATGTCTGGGCTGCAGTGGCCCAGAATAGTCAGAATATCCCAGTGCTCCTTGCAGTTGACATCTCTCGCTAGTAGACTAAGCCTTGGCTTTCGTGTACTAAGGGAGGTGGCAGCTCGAAGCCAATATTCCAGCTCCATTATTATTTATTTTGCTATAACCCACTTGTCTTAACATAACTTTTCATTTGCCAGTGATTATTCTTATTATTTTGTTTGTTGACTTGTCTTTTATATTTTATACTTAATTTTATTCATGTCTTGTTTTTCTAACGTAATTAAAATTTAATTGTTAAATTTACTTGTGTATTGTGTGTCTTCCCATTACCTTACCACAGACGAAAGTTCCAGCTTTTTCTCTTTTTTTTCTTTAATGTGACGAGGCCCTGCCCCTAGCTTTTGAAACAGCCGAACACCAACGCTTTACCGTCACTATATATATATATATATATATATATATATATATATATATATATATATATATATATATATATATATATATATATATATATAATATATATCAGCCCAGCAGGTGGCCTCCATATTTCTCCCTCAGGAGAAGACACAACAAGAATTTATGCATGTTAAGCCCCGTTCAGATGATATCTCTTTTTTCCAATCTTTTCTCTCGCCTCTCCTCATATTTCTTCCCTGTTCCCTTGCCCCCACTCTCCATTTGTCTTCCCTTCTCTTCACCCTTCCCAATCTTTACCAGTCTTACTACCTCCCTCTCTTTCTGGATAGGTATGATGAACATGGAGAATACTGTTTTGAGGAGGAGCGTGGAGGAGGAGTGTGGAGGAGTAGCTTGGAGGAGCATTAAAATGGTTAATGTTATGTTAAGCATTGTTCATGTTATGTTAACCATTGTTAATGTAATGTTAATGTTCTAGGTTATCATTATCGGGGACAGAAAGCCTGTTAGCCTTATAGAGGTTCTCCCATAGTTCCAAACCTGCACACTGAAATAACATCACACGAGACCAGGAGACATGGCAGGAAGTGCAAAATACACCCGTTGAAAAGGTGAAGTGCAATAGGCACGCTGAGAGTGAACTAGTAACATCAAGCCCCCCCCCCATTGTTTATGAATGAAAAACAATTTACACACGACTCAACTCATGACTTTCGAACACTTCCGGAACAAATGCCTTACTGACGAATTTTGTTCGAACCACAACGCTGTAAATGCTTCACCCACGAATGTAAATAATCGCCAACAGAACCTAAACACCTAACCTAACCAGTGCCTAAATATGTACAATATAATATTAATTTATATTTGGGAAAATTTCTGCTTTGAATGAACATCATGTTGAAATTTCTTAATACGTCCTTGGGGTCGACCGCTGGATGGAATGAACTATATCTGAACAACAGAATCTTGACTCCTAACCTAATCTACTTTTAACTATACACTGAACTTTAGTGTAAAATAATATTAACTTAAATATGAGAACAAAACTATTTTAATACACATTACGTTAAAACTGATGAATGTGTCTTGGGAGAACGGCAGCCGCTTTAATGAACCTGGTTGACCCAGGCAACCAGCCGGGAAGCCTGGCCAAAGACCGGGTCGCAGGGACATTGATTCCCGAAACCATCACAATGTTACCTACTACCAACCTTCCCCTCTGAATGAAGCTCACAACAGCTGACCAACTCCCGCGTACCTATTCCCTGCTAGGTGAAGAGAAGGATCAGGAGTCAAGACATACTCGCAAACGTCTCGCCTCACCCGAGAACATTCGTGTGTGAGTCGACTTACTCCACCCGGGATCGAGCCAAATTTAATGAGGCGGCGAAATGACGAGAATAATTAGGATACGAACACAAGGATACGAATTAGGCTTGGAGGATAAAAGGGTGCGAAGAGTCCTGCCAACTTTAGCACCAGACTTTTAAAGCCGTCAACTACGTCAAAATGGGTACTTAATTTGTTTAAATTACAGCACCGTAATATTCACGTAATCCAAGAATAACCTGGATACTTAGCCTGGCGAGGCTAAGTGGGCTGTTAAGGTTCGTTAACGCCTGGAAAGGCAAAACCACTTTAAATTCGACGTTCGTCAAAGAATCAACCCCCCCCCCTGCCGACCAGGTGCCCCCACCCACCTCTGTTTAAATAGTACCAATTATAACGGTGGTCAATAGTCACCAATTCGTGCGTAGTTAGCTTTGAACGCCATAATAAACTAATGACAAACATTTACTAAAGAAATAATTCTATCAACCGCCACAATCTGGCAACACCGAGACAAGCGCTGCCTGGCAACTCTCCTCCAGCACTAACCAGAAATCATCAGTTATTTATTCCTTCACAAATTAATCTACTCAGAGCTCCCAACAAATTAAATCATTCGTTATGCATTTACTGAATGCATAACTTAAATTTGACTACATTTACTTAAATATAATAACCTCACTTAGCTTGAGCACTGAATGGTGAAATATTAAACATTGGTTATCAATAGGATATCCGTGATATTCTATTTTATAATAATTTATTAATTGTTCATAAGAATTACGTTAACTCTGACTCCGAACTAGTTAGTGTTATTATGGGCCAGTATTATAGTCAAGATACATAAGGAACTTGCACATGTGTGTAGAGTTTATATAAGGATCTAAA